ATAGAGGGACTCTGAGGGATTTGTCTTCTGTGGGTCTCCCAGCTGGGCTGGTGGCATTGGCTGCAGACCCCTGCCCGGGGTGTTCAGCCTTTCAGAAAGCCGCCCACCACCAGTCTTGCATGACTTTGTTCTGAGGCTACCTTCTCATACAAAGTGATCCCATGAAACCCAATCAGTCTTAAGAGAAGCTCGGCCAGGAGGGCTCCTTAGAGGCAAGGATGGGCTCTGGGACTTCGTCTTATATGCGTCGGACATGATGCCAGGGGAGACCATGCTTTGAGAAGGACATCGGGCTCGGTAAAGTGCAGGGACAGCGGAAAAGAGGAAGCCCCTGCACAAGATGAGTGGACACAGTGGCTGTAGCCACGGGGTCAAGGGGGGACGCAGGACCGGGCAGTGTTCCTGTTGTGCACATGGTCGCAATGGGTCAGACTAACTCCGTGCCCCTAACATCCACAAAGACATCCACAACAATGACATCTAAGAACCAGAAAAGTGGTGCTGCACAGACTTCCTAAGGCCCAGGCCAGGACTTGTGCTGTTGCTGGGCTCCGTCCAGGCCGGAGCCCTCTGCCTATGGATGTCCACGGCGTGAGCCATCCTTCTCTGTGCAGTCAGCGCCCAGCTACGCAGGTTCCGAGGGTGGGCCAGGCCGCTCTGAGGATGTTTCTGGAAATCAGAAATTATACCACTTGCTTTCAGACACACAAGTATACAACGCTTTCCGGCCGATTCTCTTGATGGGATGCTTTAAATATTGAGAGTTTCAGTAGGTTTTAATAGCCTTTTGGATGTAGTGATGGGCTAGTCTGTCCCTTCTGCTTTATGCTAGCAAGCTGCCATGTAATTAAAACCTGCGTGCACCCCGTGCTGTCAGGAACTGGGTAACCTTTCCCCAGAGGACATAACTGTCGCTCTTCTTAGCTGTGGATGTTTGGCAGTGGCCATTGTCCGGGAGCGACTCATCGCTGGCTTGCCTCGATGATTTATTACTGGTGGTGGTGAGCCTCCGACCGTTCACGTCTGAAAAGAGTTTATAGCACGGTCTGCATGGGTGTTAGAGGCAGTCACGGAAGAGAATAGGCATACTTAGAATCAGGAACTCTGACCTTGAGGTGAACTCTAATGGGATCTCTACTCAGGGCTTCACCATGTGCCTCAGGAACGCCGTGCACATGCAGAAGCACATCAGCATGCACCTGAGGGTGACTTGGACAGTCATCTGACTGTCCCTCTGTGACCTGGTCTCGTATTCTCGACGTGCCCTAAAGAGGGGGATGAACGTGCCACCGGTGCTTGCTTTGGCTTTAACCACGTTTGAAGCCCCCCAAGACCAGGCACCAGCAGATGGTCCAGGCACTGGCCGAGGGTGCATGCACACACTGCTCTGGCCCAGCACAGAGGCCCCAGGATCATGGTGCTGCCAAAGGGTAACGGCAGTGCCGGGGGCTGCCCTGCAGGACATAGAGTGCCCCTTATCATCCAGGACAGCGAGACCATCTCAGGTGCGTCGGGCATATCGTCAGAAGGGACTAGTCCCCCCGAGAAGGACTTGAAGCTTGATGTGGTCGAGGGAAGAGCCTCAAGATGGATTGGCAGAGCGGCTGCAGAAATGACATCAATCTTGTCAGTGATTGTGGGGACGGCCCAGGACCGGCCAGTGTTTCCTTATGCCGGGAGTC